ATTGAGACCATCAATCATATTTTCACGAGCAGCAGCATCTCCGACCAGGTATGGCAGTACTTTGGAGATATCTTTCAGATACCTATGACTTCAGGGGAGGGGGTCAGACAGAGGTTCCAGAGATGGCGGTATTCTGGACAGCACGTTTACCGTGGACACATTCGTATTATCATTCCTCTACTGATATTTTGGTTTCTATGGACTGAGAGGAATGATGCGAAGCATAGAGGTATTCGTATGGTGGCCAGACGTATTATTTGGAGGGTCTACCGCATGATCTCCTTTCTTCATATGGGAGGACTATTCCGAGTTGAGCATTGGCGAGGAGATGTGACACTTGCACCTTTTTTTGGCATTTCTTTGACCCGTCCTCTCCCATCACCACCTATTATGGTTGTTTGGCGCACTCCGCCAGTTGGATCCTACAAGATCAACACTGATGGATGCATCAAAGATGGATTTGCAAGTGGTGGAGGCATCATTAGGGACCACGCAGGATATTGTATCAGGGCATTCTCAGCATCGTATGGCCCATGTTTCATTTTGGAGGCTGAACTCAGAGCCATACTAGATGGGCTTCTATTGGCCAGAGGACTTGGGATTTCAGCTATCTGGCTCGAGGCATATTCAACATTGGCTATTCACTGCATTACCAAAGGTGGAGGACCATGGTCGATTCAGGGTATTCTTAGACAGATCAGAGACCTCATCTACTTCGATAGAGACATGGTTTCACACATCTACAGAGAAGGCAACCAGGTTGCTGATTCTCTTGCTACAGAAGGCTGGAATCATCGACGCTATCTAGAGTATGGACCACTAGAACTGCCTCGACATATTAGGGCGATAGTGCGGATCGACAGACATGGATTGCCCAGTTTCAGAGGTTCGTAATTTAGGCTATTCTTTATTGTATAGGGAAGTAGTACTTCCTCATTTATTGCTTTCATTTATTATATTCATTTTTTGCATCACTGCTTTTTGGAGGTCAGGTTCATGACACCCCTCCTTCCGTGTATTTTTGATTTTTATGAAATAAATATGGTTGGGGAACCCTTAACCCCCATCGACCTTCCTTGGTGGACCCTAAAAAGTCACTAAGGATGTGTGGATGTCTTTACCAAAAAAAAAAAAACCCTAAACCCTAAACCACACTCGACTTGTTTTCCTCGTTTTGCCTCTTCAAATCTAATACTCCACCGGTCCCAAAGATGAATGTGGAAAAGCGAATGAAGATGGCTGGTTCAGTCCGAACTGGTGGGAAAGGTACCTTGAGAAGAAAGAAGAAATCTGTTCACAAGACTACCACCACAGATGAAAAAAGAATGCAAAGCACCCTGAAGAGAATTGGGGCGAATACTATTCCTGCAATTGAAGAGGTGAATATTTTCAAGGAGGATGTAGTCATCCAGTTCACTAATCCTAAAGTTCAAGCATCTATTGCTGCCAACACTTGGGTTGTTAGTGGCACTCCTCAGAACAAGAAATTGCAAGATATTCTCCCTCAAATCATTCATCAGTTGGGTCCTGATAACTTGGAGAATTTGAAGAAATTGGCAGAGCAGATCCAAAAGGAGGCATGTAATGCAGATTTTCTTCTGGCATGATTGTTGGATGGGCGAGTCCACGTTGGCATCCCTATTCCCCCACAGACAGCACACATCTGCGAGAGTACAGGATTTTTTTGACGACACTGGGTGGGATTTTGGACTGTTATTACAGGCCCTTCCTTCTCACATGGCGGAGTCACGTTCAGCGTTATTCAAATGCTTTAAAGAAATAACATTGAAAACATTCACAAAAATAAATCTAAATAACTTGTTCATCGGGTTTTTCCATGGACTCGTTGCACCACTCTCCATCTTTTCCATCATCCAGGCCCAAGGTAGAATCATATCAATCTGTAGAGAAGGGGTTAAACCCGTGAGTTAAAAAAACTCAATAGATATCATTGGTACATTCGTGATCAAGCTATTTATTTCAAAGCTATAACTTTAGAAACCTTTTCATAATAGGATTTCCAGTAGAATCCCAAACACGTAGAGTTATGACTTAACACGACGCCTCGACTGGAAGTACATGCCGTACCCGGAGGTACCATTAGATATGGAGGTGTATGCCGTACCGGAGCTACCATTAGACATACAAATATTAACATAAATCTTCATTTGCTAGAAACTTATAA